TCAGATTCACTGCATACCCATCAGGGTACATTAAATTCTTGATCCATCGAAGTACTTCCCTCTTTTGATCGATTTTCAAGACATAGGGGGCCCTAGGCCTTCTCCACTGCTTTCCTGTTGCAAGAGGCCGCATCTCTAGGTTTGGCCTATCGCACAATGTCACCAGGTCCACTCTAGCCTTAGGGTTGTCCTTAGACTTGTCAGTGTCCATGAGCATTGCCCAAAGTGTCTCAACGATATTCTTTTCAGTGTGCATGACATCAATGTTATGGGGCAGTAGGAGGTCATCAAAATAGGGGAGCCTCGTCAAGCCGAACTTATGAGTCCACATATGTTGCTCACCATATCCCACGAAACCACCATCTTCGTTGGGCACGAGAGCATCTATCTGAGCACGAACCTCCGCCCCAGTCCTCAAGTGCGGTCTAGGGTCCGTCACTTTGACACCTTTCGTAAAGCTCTTGACGTCTTCTCTGAATGGATGGTCAAAAGGGAGGAATTGATGATGTTTGTCGAACGGCAAATACTTGCCACCCTTCTTCAACCATATAAACCTCATAGCTTCCTTGCATATTGGGCATGGGAACTTCCCCTGAACACACCAGGCGCACATTAACCCGTACGCCAGGAAGTTGTGCAGGGAGTAGTGGTACCAGACGTGCATTTTGAAGCTAGTCTTCGTAGCTCGGTCGTATGTCCACACCCCTTTGACCCAAGCATCGATCAACTCATCTATCACAGGCTCCATGAAGACACCCATATTACTCCCTGGGTGTCCAGGGATTATGAAAGACAGGAACACGGTATGCCGTTGAAAGGAGACGCCGGGGGAGAGATTCAGGGGGATGAAAAACACAGACCAACATGTGTATGGTGCAGCCATCATGCCATATGGATTGAACCCATCTGTTGCCAGCGCGACACGTACATTACGAGCCTCCTCTGCTTTGAGAGGATGTTGCGAATTGAAGTACTTCCATGCATCAGCATCGGATGGATGTACCATCTTCTCAAGATTGTATCGTGTGCCGTTTTTGTGCCATGTCATCTGTTTCGCGGATTCCTCGGTCATGAATAGCCGCTGGAACCTCGACAGGAATGGAAGGTGTCGTAGGACTCTCATGGGGATCTTAAGCTGCCTCTTCTGGCCATCGCCTAAGTCTACCTCCACGTGCCTGGAGGATTTACACTTCGGGCAGTACTTTGCATCCGCATGTTCTTTCCTAAATAGGATGCACCCCTTCGGACACACATGTATCTTGTCATACAGCATCTTAAGTGCAAGAAGGAGCTTCTCTGACTCGTACAAGTTCTTCGGCATAATGTGTGTCTTCGGTAGCATATCGCTCCACACGGCCACCATCTTGTCGAAGCCTTCTCAACTTAGGTTTAACTCGGTCTTCAACCCCATTACGCGACCAATGGCATCCAGCTGAGAAACATTAGTATGATCGTGAAGGGGTCTCTGTGCCAAGTCCAACATTAGGTAGAAGGCATCTGCGGCAGCCTCCATCTCCTTGTCACGTCCTTCAGCGAACTAAGCTTGGTGCGTGTCATCCAGCATGTCTGCTACCTCGGCATCATCATCGAAAGCCTTGAGCCGTGGTCTCACCACCTCCTCCCTGATACGATTGGCTTCACCATGGTGGATCCACCGGTGGTAGCCCGGAGTAAATCCAAACTTCACAATATGTTTACCCATGGTTAACCTATCTTTCCTTCTTCTGTTGTCACAACCGCTGCACAGACAAACCACTAGAGAATGGCCTCCAGCACTCTCGCCAAATGCATGCTGTAAGAATTCTTCGACCTTGAATATAAACAGCAAGTCGTAATCGTGCTCATCTCTCTGGAGCGTGTACATCCACTCACGGTCCTCCATCCTTTAACAGACGTATCAGCACATATGAGTCACCATCAATTGCATCTACGCGGTGTCCCTACTCTCTAATAGGTGAGGATAGGTCCTAATCCCATCCGCGGATCCGTAGATGAGGTTAGTTTCCATGCTCCGCTCCTATCCGAGATAGAATTTCGTTAGCACCTCCCTGCTGTTCTCCCGATACACATCCTGCAAGGGAGAGTGTGTATCCGGAGAACAACAGGGACAACAGGGGGGTGATGCCGAAACACCGTTCGGACCGGAGCGGACCATGGAAAATAACCCATCTACGCATCCGCGGGCTGTCCAAAAAACGTGGACAATCCGAAATAGAAACGCTCATAGATATGCAAAGATCTGCATACCTCCAAAGATATCTCTTTTGGACGGGAGACGCCGTAACTAGGCTACACCGATCTACGATGACAGACAAGCGGAAAAAGAGGTGATTTATACCTTGGGTGTCGGTGAAGTCAGGCTAGCAAGGCAGTGGTGAGTCGACGCAGTGGCGAGGCGACGCAGTGCAGGCAGACCCATGACGCCGACGAAGACGATCGGGGACCTCCGGGTCACCTCCGACAGGTCCTGCTCTGCAAAAGAAGAAACACGACACTATAAGTTCAAAATTTCGGCAGCACCTCCCCTACACGGGGAGGTTTCCAAAACCTACAAAAAACAATGGCACGAAGGCCAACAATCACAAACGGCATGAAGGCCAATAAGCACAGCGGCACGAAGGCCGACATCACAACGGCACGAAGGCCGACAATCACAAACGACACGAAGGCCGATAAGCACAGCGGCACGAAGGCTGACATCACAACGGCACGAAGGCCGACAATCACAAATGGCACGAAGGCCGATAAGCACAGCGGCACGAAGGCTGAGCGGAGAAAGGGTGGATATACCTTGCCCATGCTCGTAGGCGGTTCGGTGATGGTAGGGGCATCAGCGGGACGGGCACGCGGAGAAGACGGCCGAGGCACCTCCTCCCCTCCACCTCGGCTTCCTCCCCCTCTCCCACGCTCCCCTTCTCCTCCTCCTTCCTCTCCTCCTCCTCCTTCCTTTTTCTTCTCTTTTTTCCTTCTCCTTCTTCCTTTTCCTTCTCTTTCTTTCTCCTCTTTTTTCTTCCTTCTTCTTCCTTCTTCTCCTCCCTTCTTCTACTTACTGCTGCTTCCTCCTCCTTCTTCCAAGCCAGCGGCAAGACCAGGGGAGCATGGGGGCGAGAGGGGCCAGCAAGGCAGGGGAGGATTTGTCAGCACAAGGCCAATGTGGCAACACACGACGGACGGCAACGCGGCGGCAGCAGACGGCGTCTGAGCCGAGCGGCGTGAGCCGTGGGCCAGGGTGCTCGGGGCGCGGCGTCTGGGCGGGCTTCACCAGCGTATGCGCCGCCGGCGTGATGTGGAGGGGTGGCGGCAAGGTCAAGGGGGCGGGATCTGTGCTGTGGGACCGAGCAGAGCGGGCGGGCAGGGTTCTAGGGTGGGGGGCGGATTTTGGGCCGGCAGCCCATTTTCTATTGGGCCTTTGCCGAGTGCTCCAGAAAGGGGCACTCGGCAAAAAAAATTATTTTTTAAAAACATATTTTGCCGAGTGTAAGCCTTGGGCACTCGGCAAATTTTTTTTAAAATTTTTTATAACTTATTTTGCCGAGTGCCAGCGCCAGGCACTCGGCAAAAAAAATTATTTTTGAAAATCAACTTTGCCGAGTGCCCCTGGGCCGGCACTCGGCAAAGCCCACTTTGCCGAGTGCCCCCCATGGCACTCGGCAATTTTTTTTTGATTTTGGGCCCAAATTTTTTTCTGTGGCCTTGTAACAGTATTTCAAACTCTATTTTAAAATGGGGCAATTTTGACTTTTTTTATATATTTCATTAGTTTATTTCGTTTCGTCGAATTTTTTGGGATATTTCAAATTTGAACTGCAGGTACATGGAATAATGGACTTTGGTCATCCAAAAATTGATACTCATGATATTTAGGGTATGTTTAGGCCGTATCCAGGAACTCACATGAAATCTCGAGCATCTCGTTGACGTAAGATGTCGAGGTACTTGCCGGAAATGTGATTTTAAATTATATAAAATGCAAACGAAGTCTGAAAATCACGAAACTTGTCGAGGCGTCGTGTTATCGCATGTGGAGGCTGTGGTAAAAAATTGTGAAGGTTTCAAGCAAGTTGTGACGTCAGATGCCAAAAACCCAGACATCTCACATGTGGGTAAAATATGTTTTTAAAAAATAACAAAAAAATAGAAAACCCTTCAATATGATGTCGGATGAAGATAATTTTTATATGTAAATTGTAGACCTCGATGAGATCTACAACTTTGTAGTTTTGAGTTTTTTTATTTAAGGACGCTAAGATGCTCGAAAAAATAATATAAAATTTCGGCGCCTTCCGAAAATATCAAAAGTTACTGTTCACCCGCAAAACCGTCCAGAAGGTTGAAAGTTGAACTTTTTCCAGAGTTGGAGGGCCAAAGTTATCCGGTTTTAAAGTTCAAGGTTGAAATCCGGGCTTTAGTGAAAATTGGAGGGTGTAAATTGGACTTTACCCTACTAAGAATGTGTGAGACACTTCCATGGTTCCATGTTAGCCAGGGAATTCATGAGTGTCGTTAGTGTGTCTGGATATTTTTTCTTAAAAAAATCATAAAGCTATGTGTATCCTGGTAATGTATACAACCAGAGGGAAAAAAAAAAGAATCAGGGTGCCGCTACTCGCTAGTCGCTACATCCTACAGCCCTTGACGCGATTGTTCTGAAATTGCACAAATAGTACGGAACGCCCACCGTCTTCCACGAGCCCACGAAATGAGCCCTCCTATTCTCTGTCTAGCAGGCTGGGCTCAGCGGCAGGTTACTGCCACACCTGTCCCCGCCCGGCCCGGCCCGTTGGGAAGTCAAGGTCAACAACACCCTACGCCTACACTACGACGCGCTGTGAGATGAGATGGGAGAGCACGGCTCCTTTTTTGGGGGTGGCCGGACTCGATGAACCTTTGATCATTTCCTTTGCGGTCTCTCTGCAGATTATTGATCGATTCTGACCGGGTGCCGGGTGCGTGCGCAGCAGCGTCAACAAATCCACGCACAGAGATTTCGAGCAGCGAGGATGGCGGCGATCTGGCGAAGAGCATGGAGCTCCAAGAAGGTTTCATCCGCCGGGCGCGGCTACGGCGCTCGGCAGACGATTTTTGGCAGCATCAGCACCACCACCACTTCAGGTTCAGGTACCCGTACCACCATGACCCTCTCGACCTCCGCGAACACCATCAGAGACGAGGAGGAAGAGAGTGCCATGGAGCTCAGGCAGGAGGAGGTTGTGAAGATGCGCCGGCACATGAGGGGCCTGGTGGAGGAATTCCGTGCCGCTGCCGACGGCAACGCCACTGCGCCGGACAGGTGGCTCTCGGACCTGCACGTCGCCTGGCTTCTCCGTCTTGCCGAGCTCGACGCATCCGGGCAGAGGACCTTCATCTCACGGTCACGGCAGCTACAGAGTCATGCGCAGACTTGGATCCCGGCTCTGCGGGTCATCAGCACGTCCGTATGGAAATGCTTAAATGGACTTCACAGCGACGGTGAAGCAACCGTTGGGCCACCGGCTACAGAATTTGTACAGTTTCTCAAGGCAACGTTGCTGAAGATGTTCACCTTTGTTGACGCGATTGTCGCTCTTGATCCTCTGAATGTTGATGGTGCCAGTGCCACCAGCCAACAGCATGTTCCTTCTAGCAGTGTGATGGGGGCTTCTGAGAAGGTCCGGGCACTGCTAGATGTGCGCCATGCTCTCTCTGCAGCCTCAGAACAGATCATGGTGGCTTTATGTTCCTCACCCTATGTGCTTGTCACAAGGGTAGTTGACGATATCGAAGGCCTCTTGTCAGCACAACTGGGTAAGCTGGATCAGGTCGTACGGGACACATTTGATCACATCAGGACTGCTGTCGTCACTCCATCCTTGGACGACGACAACGACTCCTCCTCTGCTACTCAGACGACCCTGCTGCAATCATCACCCGCTATCCACAAGGTCACTCAGTCCGTCACAAACTATATCAATATTGTGTTGTCCACTGAAGCATTGCTCACCGTGAATTATGCACGTCATCAGGGAGATACGTCTTCTTTGACTACCCTGACAATGGAGGTAGTCGGTTCCCTAGAGGAAGAGCTTGCCAGAGTGTCGCAGTGGTTCCCAGACCAGAGCCTCAGGTTTATCTTCTTGATCAACAACTCCTACCTCATACGGCAGCTGCTCGACACAAGTTGGCCTCCCCATCTCCATGACCTCACGTACCTAAGGTTTTTGAACAGCCTCACAAACAGAATCGACAGATACATACAGAGTTATCTGCAGGTTTCTTGGGCACCGGTGTTGGAATGCCTGCACAATCCCACGTTTCGTTGCTTCACGAGAGACTCACCGCTGCCAAAGTTCAAGTCCAAGTTTCAGTCGACCTACGCTGCGCAAAAGCTCTGGAAAGTCCCGGATCCTGAGCTGAGGAAAATGCTGCGTGAAGCTATCATCGAGAAAGTCGTTTCAGGCTTTACGGAATACTTGGAGGATAACAATAGGATCATCCCAGGAGTCTCTCCTCAGGAGGTGGAGGAGATGCTGCAGGAACTATTTGAAGGATGAACATAACAAGTGCACCATGGAAAAGACAAGTTGCTAGCTACTTCTGTTTTCATGCACCTTTGATTTTGTGTTTTGGGTTTGGAATAAAACATTGTTGCTTGGAAATTTTTTGTCATGTTTGTACCCGCAGCAGGTGTCAGTATATATGCATCAGAGATTGAATTTGTAGCCTCCACAACACAGGAGTCATTCTGATTGAGATCAGTAGTCATTTATGTATGCAAATAAGTCATTGAACCATGATCTCCCTAAATCATGCACTATAAGCACAAGGAATCAACTAGTACTGTTGATACTAAATTTCTATCCAAACACATTCAGACATGTATATTTTGCCTTAAGCCAAACGGCAGGGTTGAAACAAAGTAGTACTGAACAGACTTGTTCCTGAAGAAAACAAGACCAAGAATGTGCGTAAGGCCCAAAGTGCTAGGATCAAGTTCTGAACGGTAAGATAAGATTAGGATGTTGTAATCAGTAATCAACTTTAGCACCATGTTGCATTATTAGTAGAACCAGCAAGAAATGAGGCTACTGGTTCAAGGCAAAATTTGGAACTAACTTAACATCACATGACCATAAGCACAAAAAATAATCTGAGGAATTCGCTGAGGATACTCACGTTCACGTTAGGAGCAAACAAGAGAGACTGACAGTTGTTGAGAAGGCAGAGCAATCAGTTGCAGATGTTACTGCCGTGGTCTCGTCCAACAAGGAAGGGGTAGCCATAGCCAACGCATGTTGAGAGCTTCTTTGATGTGACTGAGGCACTGAGCCGTGCTCCCGACTCACACCGCGTTGTGGATGGTGCGTTGATGTCGACCTCCACCAGGCCGGAACAAGAATTGCTGTGGCAGTGCTTAGTGACCAGGCTAAACCATTTGCAATATGGGCACGCGGAATGTAGTGGGCGTTCGTGCTTGTTCAAGTTCAGACTGTACTGTACGTATGATCTCAGTCGTCGTTTGCACACATACGGGTGACAACAGACAAGAGAAACGACACACGACAGCACAGAGCAGCTTCCAGCAATTCACATGGATGTCTACGATTTTAGAAACGATAACGCTACAAACATGACGTTCGACGTCACCGATTCCCACCGGACGGACACGTGGCGTGACGTGCACCACAACTTTGACTCCCTCCGTCTCTTATTCTCATTCGGACACCGCTCGCTCATTCCGCTCGGCCTTTTCCCACCGCGCCCTGACCCTACGCCGCTCGCTCGCTCCCCGCTCCTCGCACCTCACCCCCGCCCGTCGTGCGCCCCACCCGCACCTCGCTCCTTGCTTTGGCCGTGCGCCGCGCTGCCCGCTCCCTCTGGTAGCACGCGCCGCTCACCAGGCTGAGCTAAGGTCGGTGCTGGTGGCGCTGGCTGGTGGTGGTGCTCGTGCGTGCCACTGGTGCTGGGTGCTAGTGGTGCTCATGTGCCGTCGCTCGCCGCTGGCTCCGACCTCGACGGCTGGGATCGACCGGCCCAGGCTTCCCATCCCCTATATTGCAAATGTATATAAAGTGTTTCAGTTGTTTTAAAAGTATGTTGCAGCAATTTTTTAGGAAAATTTTGCTACAGGACACTGAAAGTTACCCCTCTTTGCTAGCGGACATGCAAAATGGAGTTTTTTTTGCTGGTAGACACTCTTGTTGTTGTCAAATTTGCTCCTGCACACCGCGGCCAATAAAATATTCATTTCTTGCTTCTGAGGATAGAGAACAACGGGGAAATGTCCTTTTTACCCCTGGCTCCTTCTTCCTCTCTCCCTTGGCTGGTCCCCATCTGTTCGGGTTCCCCCACACGCCTAGGGACGGGCATAGCCATCATCGTCGCCGGCGCTGGGGTCGGAGAGGAGGAGGGACTGTGCACAGTTGTCGATCTCAAGGACGCGGTGCTGCCCGTCGAGCACGCCCAGGCACATGGCGCGGCGCTGGGAGCAGAGGCGCCGGGAGCCAGCCGAGTGAGGGAGAAGGGGGTATATACAAAGTAGGCATAGGGCTTGGAGTCGACGCAGATGCGGAACGGGATGGGGAGCGTCTCTAGGCCACGTGCGACGTCGGCGGCGCGACGCGTGGTGACAACAGTCACAGCCGCGCAGAGGTCGCGGCAGGCGAATGCTACGGCCGCAAGGTCCTGCGGCGGAGTGCGGTGGTAGCCAGTGCGTCTGTGCGTGTGCGCCTCATGTGGGAACCCACGGTCCCCCGCGTGCTCGCGGCGGACCTCGGTAGGCCCCCTTGGCGGGCACCGGGGGGCACATGGCAGCGTGCGGGAGGCCCCTGACCGAAACCCCATGGCCGGCGGGGCGACGTGCGTGCATGCAGCTGCCTCCGCCTAGCTGCGGAGGTGGAGATGGGGAAGAAGAAGGAGCCAGGGGCAAAAGGGCATTTCCCCGTTGTTCTCTCTCCTCAGAAGCAAGAAATGAATATTTTATTGGCCGCAGTGTCCAGAAGCAAATTTGACAACAACGAGAGTGTCCACTAGCAAACTGCTCCATTTTGCATGTCCGGTAGCAAAGACGGCTCATTTTCAGTGTCATGTAGCAAATTTCCCATATTTTTTATGGATGTTGCAAAATAGATCGGGGTTGTTGCACATGTTGTATATGTTGCAAGTATTTTAGAGGCATGTTGCAAGCATTTGTTCAAAATATTTTATCTATTCCAGACGTATGTTACAAGCATTTTGATTCGGATGTTTGCATATGTTTCATACATATGTTGCAATAACATGTTCCATATGTTTCATCTGTTTCAAACGTATGTTATAAATATTTTATCTAAATGTTGCATATGTTAAAATGACTACGTTGCAAGTGTATGTTTCAAATTTTTCATCTGTTTCAGTCGTATATTACAATTGTTTTATCTAAGTGTTATAAAAATAGATCTCAATATTAAGGCTGTTTAGCGAGGAAGAGAGAGCTAGGGTTCCAACCCTGAAACCAAACTGCCTGAGCGACGGGGTGCCTGCATGCTGTTTGGTTTAAGCGCTGGGATCCCGCCAGCTCCAGGTAAGCTCTTGAGATCCAGGCGTCCGAAAGTGGTCGCCTGGCTGGGGGCAACGCTGCCTGGAGTATTCAACTATGATAATACAGTTCATTTTTTTCCTAGGGTCCTACGGAAGAACAACTATGATAATACAATCCTGGATGTTTGCTTTTCTATCCTTTTTAGGTGGCACGTGGTGCTACTGTAATAGCAATCGTAGAAGTTATTTTTTTACACACTAGATTAAATGATTTTTTTTTTTTAGTGTAAATATATTTAATATTTTTTAATTGGCGAAAACATATAGTATTAACTTTTATGAAATAGATTTTAAAATTATTTATAATTGTAAACATACTATAAATTAAGAAAATACATTGATCTTTGTTCATTAGCTTTCTCATGCCAGGCTTCCAACCAAACAGATAACTCCCAACTTGCCTGACTAGGCAGATTTCTTCAAATTCCCAGGCAATTCTCAGGTAACACTTTTCACCAGGGAAGTCATCCAGGCTTCCAACCAAACAGGCCCCTAGTGCAGGAACCATGGTGGCGTCGGATGTAAGTTGGCGGCAGCGCTCCACCGGATGACATGCAGGCGTCCGCGCTGGCGCACGCGGCCTGTCCCCGTATGACATGCTGCCTCCATTGGCCCCGCCGGAGGTCCTAGAGCAGAAGCTTGTGGCATCTCCCCACGTGACAGAGATGTCACCCAGGCTATGGAGGTGACGTAGGCGCGACGAGGTTGAGTCCCCCTGTGGGCGGGCTCCCCTGTTACGCGGGCACGGCGGACGCTCTATTACACAAGGGACGGGACAGGGTGTGGTGGAGCTGCATCCGGACACGGGCCTGGGGCCAGACATTCAAGCACTAGTTGTTCCGTTTTAGTTTTTTTGCATATATAATGGCATAGTTCCTTTTTTGTAAAAAGCATATACCGACATTAATTAGGGCAGCTATAATGCCAGTACTGCTTACTGTTATTATTATATTTAGAGTAAAGTATATGGCCGATCCTCAAACTTGTGCGGGTGTGTCATGCTAGTCCTCGTACTTAAATTCTTAAAGTGCATCATTTTAGTCGTTAAACTTGTCAAGGTGTGTCATGCCGATCCTCGTACTCCAAGTGCGTCATTTTAGTCTCAAAGTGTGTTATTTTGGTCTATAAACTTGTCAAATTGTGTCATGCCGGGTCTCGTATCCTCAAAGTGCATCATTTTGGCCTCAAAGTGTGTCATTTTATATATTAAACTTGTCAAGTTGTGTCATGCCGGTCCGCTAGCTCTTGATCTTTGTTCGGCTCTTAGTGGTCATGTGGCTACCATGGCGACTACTGCCAGTGCTCTCAGTCTCATCATCATGGCAAATATAATTGCAAGCTAACTAGCTACTTATAGCTGGGTGGATCGATCAGTAGAGTACTAACTGCTGGTGATCTGATGAGTGTGTGAGGGTTCTTAATTTCAGTATTGCAAAAATTTCAGCCGCCACCAAAATTCCACTCGGCCTTCTCCCACTGCGCCCTGACCCTACGCCGCTCGCTCGCTCCCCGCTCCTCGCTCCTCACCCCCGCCCGTCGTGCGCCCCACCCTCGCTTTGGCCGTGCGCCGCGCTGCCCGCTCCCTCTGGTAGCACGCGCCGCCCACCAGGCTGAGCTAAGGCCGGTGCTGGTGACGCTGGCTGGTGGTGGTGCTCGCGCGTGCCACTGGTGCTGGGTGCTGGGTGCTGGGTTCTAGTGGTGCTCATGTGCCGCCGCTCGCCGTCGGCTCCAACCTCGACGGCTGGAATCGACCGGCCCAGGCTTCTCCTCCCCTATGTTATAAATGTATATGTCAGGTGTTTCAGTCGTTTCAAAGGAACGTTGCAGTAATTTTTTATAGAAAATTCGCTACAGGACAATGAAAGTGACCCTCTGTGCTGGTGCCGATGGCAGCAACGCCACTGCCCCGGACAGGTGGCTCTCGGAGCTGCACGTCGGCTGGCTTCTCCGTCCTGCTGATGCTGAGCCTGAGCTT